CATTAGGCCTATGGCCTACAATATTATATAAAAAGGCATAATCGATCTTTACAGAGTGTCGAATTGATCTGTCAATTTTATTCCAGGGGCCTACAGTATTGCATAGGATTATTTAACAATAAGAAAAATTGGGAAAACAGTTTCCTTTGAAATTTACTTAAGCGAGTGTGTATGAAACCGGGTGGGAACTAAAATTTGATACTACGTCTAGAAGTGTAGAGATACGAACCTATTACTAAAAACTGTTGAATTCTAAATGATTACAAGATGATCAAGCATATAAATGAATCGGTCTAAAATGATATTCAAAGATATTATACAGCTATAATAGACCGCTAATGTTTGTTTTGCATGTCTATCACACACCATCACTCACAAATTAATGTATGTAAAAATTGGTCGTAAAATTTGATAACAAGTTTTATGGGCAAACAACAGAAGGCTCTGAATTTTTTACAAGTTGAACAAACTTGTTGCTGCATCATTATTGTTCAGTTACGATCACTATTCAGAGAGCAGCAGGCTGATAATTTGTTTTTCCCACAGCTATTTAGATGTCGTTGTTGGTAACTTTTTTTTTTAAATTGTGAGTGTAAATATTCTTTAGTGCATTAACTGTAGATAAGAATTGTAGATAAATAATGCACATAAAATCAATTGTCGATGGAGAACGGCGTCAGTCATCTGATTAGTCCCATATTAATAGTACCGATATTTTTAATACTTCTCTTCCGCGAATTGTTTTATTGACAGTGACTCATCTAATTCTTTTATAATCACTTTCAACATTCTAATCGAAATAGTTCACCATATCGTAAAATTTTGAATACTGTACCCACCCAATTTATTGGCGATCCTCATTGTATGTTATGTTAATGAAACATGTCATACTGTACAACAAGGGAATGTGTATTACAATATGCCAGTACGTATTTTTTAGATTTTGACGCACTCCGTTCTGTTGTGTGTGACTGCTGTTGAAAACAAACTTCCTCATTTTGTGACTCGCTATGATGACTGAGATGGACCATGTTGATTTATTAATAATATTTTGTTTGGGATGGAAAAAAGAAGTCAATTTCCCGAAAATGCTCCATCAGCACATAGTTTAGTGTGGTCTATGGACAGTATGGCTATGGAATTTACTAACCACACAATCCAGAATCAAAAAGTCGCAAAACTTTAGCTGCATTTGGTGGATTAAGTCGCAAAACTTTACCTTCGCTTGGTGGCGCCATTTACTCTAGACGGAGACCGGTTTTGTTACTGGTTGGTACATTTCTTACATTCAGCCAAAGGCCAGTGAAAGCTTTTATCGATGTTTGCCATCCTTATGTGAGCTATCGGAAAGTCATGGTTTGCCGGAGTTGCGTTCAA